TGGACTTATTGAAGATTGTGCCCCGCATTTTAAAGCCCGCACGCGTTTCATAACACCTTCTAGCGCAATGTTGAACAGACGGCAGGAAATACCATCGCCTTGTCGAAGTCCTTTGCGAGTTTCAAACGAGTCCGATAACGCACCCGATATCTTCACGCAGCACTGTACATCATCCATCGTAGCCCTCATCAGTCTGGTTAGCTTCCCGGGAAAACCGTTCTCGTCCATTCGCGACCGTTCTCGCGACCTTGAAATCGATGAATAGGTGGTGCGTAGGGACTTGATATTCACGACACTTTTGGAGGATCTGCCGCAACGTAGAGATTTGGTCCGTTGTCGATCGCCCGTCCACAAAACCGGCTTGATAACTTCCCACAAATCTGGTTGCTAGCAGCGATAAACGGCGAAAGATGATTTGGGAAAGCACTTTGTAGGCCACGTTATGAATAGTGAACGCTCGATAGTTCTCACATTTTAGTTTGTCGCCTTTTTTTATATACTGGGCATATTACTCCCTCTTGTCTAGGAGAGAATAAACACTATCATTTTCTTTATCCTACCGATTCGATTGTGGTGGTGTAAATTCTACTCCAACAGTTTCAGTGAGATTGACGCACCCTTCTTAACAAACCATCCTGTAGGAAGCTTAATAAGTATTGCGAATTGCGTTATTCGATTTGTTGGATCGTATCGTTGGAAGGAGATTCTCAAATTCCCGTGGATTTCGCGTAAGTGTCTCTGCTTACGGGTCCACCCTTCCGTTTTTGGCCCTTCAAACAGCGATATTGTGAATTCAGATCGGTAGCTCAAATTGATCTTGCTATTAAGTGGAGCTGCATACAAGACAAGATCTTTGAAGGGATGGTGGCTACCTTACATACATACATACATACATACATACTGGGCATATTACTCCCTCTTTCCACTCCTCCGGTAGCTGTTCTGTATCCCACATCCTGACTATCAGTCGGTGCAGACAAGTGGCCAACTTATCCGGGCCCATTTTGATAATTTCCGCTCCGATACCATCTTTCCCAGCTGCTTTGTTGTTCTTAAGCTGTCGGATAGCATCCTTAACTTCACCTATCGTGGGAGCTGGCTTGTCCCCCTCATCCGCTGTACCGACTAAGCCATTCCTCTTGCCGCCTTGGTCCTCCGCCTCTGTGCCGTTCAGATGTTAGTGCTGCTTCCACCTTTCAATCACCTCACGTTCGTCCGTTAAGATACCCCCTTCCTAATCCCGACACATTTCGGCTCGCGGCACAAAGCCTTGGCGGGATGCGTTGAGTTTCTTGTAGAACTTGTATGTTTTTTGAGAACGATACAGCTGCTCCATTTCTTCGCACTCCAGCTCTTCGAGGCGGCGCTTCTTATTCCGGAAAAGATGGATTTGCTGTCTTCGCTTCTGTTTATATCGCTCCACATTATGACGGGTTCCTTGCTGCAGCATCGCCGCCCGCGCTGCCTTCGTCTCGTCCAAAACCGTCTAACACTCTTCGTCGAACCTATCGTTCCATCGATTCCGCTCCACGAACCCAACGGCGCCTTCAGCAGCGCTGTTAATGGCTGCTTTCACGTTGCTCCAGCAGTCCTCAAGAGGGGCTTCGCTGAGCTCTCCCTCATCCGGCAACGCTGCGTCGAGGCATTGTAGGTACTCAGTTGCGACTTCGGGCAGCTTCAGTCACTCCTGATTGTACCGTGGCGGGCGTCGGTACCTAATGTTGTTGGCAACGGAAAGTTTTTGGCGCACCTTGACCATTAGAAGGTAGTGGTCCGAATCGTTATTTGCGCCGCCAATAACAAGAAGTGCCTTCCGTCGATCAATCGTCAATCGTCAATCGAAACTTGGTGAACCATCAACCGTACCGGGTAGTTCTGCGGGAGAAACAGCTGTGTTTGCAGATACATCTGAAGAATGGTAGGATGTTGACACCGTACATTATCGCTGTAATGCGCCTTACCCATACAATTGACTTTCGGTCCCGATCCTATGGCCATCGAGTTAATACTTAATTCTAGTTATTTCTGGCCTGTACTGCGGGGCGTGGTGGCTCTGACTAGTTCGTTTGGACTTCCCTGAAACTATAGACATCTCTCAAAAGCGGTGTAGAATTTCTGTAGAGGTTCATCCCAGAAGGCATAAGGACAAAGAGAGTCTCGTCAATTATACAATATCTTATTATGATTGGGTTTTTTTAAAGACTTTCTTTTTAAGTTTTTAGCCGTAGGCTAGTTCATCTCGTTCATGAAAGGTGGGGCCTCAGAAGGAGGACCCCCAACAGAGTAGTTTTTTACAGTGTTTACTTCAACCGAAAATTGGTTCCTGGCTCGATCGTACATTTACAAAACATATTAAAGACACAACAATAAAATCTGAATAAGACAGAGCTCCACACCGGGGAAACCGGGAGGGCCCCAACCAGGCAGAGATGTCCCAACAGCCGAAAGGAATTAAAAAAGAGGTTCTGATACTGAGGGCATACGCATAGAATGTGCTCGATTGAGGCTGAAGTTCTACAACCGACGCAAGTCCTCAAACGCGACGCTATCTTCTGATCCCGCTGGTTCAACTGTTCTGTCCATTTCCTCGTCGTCCCTTTGATCCGTCTGATGAAGAGGGAGTGGTTTTGCTTCCCGTACTTTGCTCACGATCCAGCGCTTGACATCGTGTAACGGTACTTCGTTAGTATAGCGAGGGGCAGATGGTCCTGTCCCAGCCTGAAAGTCAGCTTCAGAGTTGCCTGGTATTTTGCAGTGCCCCGGCACCCTGCAGAATACCGTGTTTGGTGGTGTGGACTTCATCGTCGCCTGTACCCAGGAATGAGTAGGGGCCTCGGATGTCAGGGCTTGTATGAAGCTGTACGAATCCGTGAGGACCAGGATCGGTCGGTTGGAGAGCGTTGTAGCAGCGATGAAGATGGCAGTAGCTTCAGCAGAGAAGACAACATTACGGCGGTAAGCTGCAGCTGGTTGGTGTGATGTTTCCGGCTAGACCGATACCGACCCCGGCTCGAGAGCGAGATCCGTCCGTGTATCGGTGAGTGTGCGTGGGGTATTTTTCTCCTAGCATTTCAGCTACAGTCCTTTTCATGGCCACGGAACTGTCTCCGGTTTTGAACCTGTCCTTAATCCGGTTTTCGATTTTCGGTAATGGTATTTGCCAGCATTCCTTGATTTCCGGATGTCTTCGAGATGAAAACAGCGGCTTTGGTTGCGATAGCTGCGGTTATATGGAAGCGGAAAGGCAGAATGCCTGCGTCGATGCATGCATGTTGTAGACTGGTGCTAACGTAGCTAAAAGCTTATCCGTTGCGATGCAGGTCATCTCCAACCCGTATAGAAGGCGAATGTCGATAATTGCACTCGCCACGTGAAAACGGATGCTGCGGTTGTTCGATCTATTCTGTCGGGAAATGGTCCGGATGTGATTCACTCGGCTGCGGCAATTTTTCTTGACTGCACTGAAATGCTGTTCAAAGTTGAAGAATCGGTCAACGAGAACTCCCAGAACTCGGACGGTCTTCTTCAGCGCGATCGGTGGTCCGCTAATTCTGTGTCGAGAAGAGCATGATGCAGGTGCCATGATGCTTTTAGAGGCTGATAGTTCAAAGCCTACTGAGTGCGCCCTCCTGGTGACGGCGAAGATTGCCCCTTGGGCTCACATCCTTGTATGGGTCCGTTAAGACCCCAGTCGATTAGTTGCTTAAGGACGAGGGGCGTCCACGTTATGTTGAAGGCCTTCGATATGTCGAGCGATACTATCTCGGTGTGCAGACCACTGTCGTAGGCGTTCTTGAGAACTTCCCCTAGGGTTGCGAAATAGGTGGACGTTCCGAAACCTTGTCGGAAAGCGTGCTGTCGGGGATCAAGGAAATTTCCAGCTTCGAGGTGTTACTTCAATCTTCGATTGACCATACGCTCTAGGACTTTGGCCATACAACATGTTACCGCTATTGGACGGAACTTGCTGACTTCACGGGTGGCTGCCCCGGCTTTCGGGATGGGAACTACCAAGCTTTCCTTCCATACTGCTGGGTACCCGTTAGTGAGCCAGAGCTTGTTGAAGAGGTCTAGCATTCGTAGCTGTCCTGGTACCGGTAGCCTCTTGGGTAGAGGATATCCGATTTCGTCGGGTCCCGCCGACTTCCCATTGCTGCAGTTCCTGCCAAGAGAATGCTTGGTTTATACCGGTACTGGCTGTGTCGGGGGGTACTATGAAGTCTACGATGGATGCGGTCGATGACTTGGTTTTCTGCTTGAACTTGTTTTCATACTTGTCAATGGTTGCGAGCTCGGATTGGGGACAATTTCGCAGGAAAATGGAACTGACTAAAAAAATCCCTTCCCCCTTACTTTGAAGTAAATGAAGAAGTAAACCATAACACAAAACAGTGATGCCATTTTATATTATATTTTGTGTCATACTTGTCATCGTGTGCCATGACGTGCCGATCGATGTGTTTTGGCACAATGTGCAGAGTTGATTTCCCCTTGCCAGCCCGTCAATTTCCGGCAAGCGCTTCCAATAGTTTGATATTACGTACACGCAAAATTCAGCATATTTGTAGTTCTGTGTCAAAATTTCAGCACAATTGATCATAACAAAACATAGTTGCAACATGCCAAAGTTGGCTAGTTTGTATGAAAATCGGCCTATTGTGCTATTTTAAAGGCCACCACTGTATGTTGCATAAGAAACGTTTGTTTTTAACCCCCGCCATAGAATGTATTCCCCTTCTGATTGCGGAAATGAAGCGACGGTCCATACGTACTCTGTGTCCACGTCGAGATTCAGGTCTGCCGGAAATTTGTACCGCTTAACTTTACCGTATTTCGTACATTCGCATATTGAACATTGTTCCCGCAAACTCGGCTAAATTTCTCTGACGAGCTGTGATTGATAGTGCTTTTGAAAAGTGTTCTCATCTTCAGTTTCAAATCTAAATCTATTTATTAAGCTATGGTTATGGCTAATGCTAATCCTATCTCCACTTCCACAGGTATTGACTTCAAGATCAAAACGATCGAACTGCGCGGCAAAAAGATTAAGCTCCAAATCTGGGACACTGCCGGCCAAGAGCGGTTCCACACGATCACTACCTCCTACTACCGGGGAGCGATGGGCATAATGCTCGTGTACGACATTACCAACGAGAAAAGCTTCGACAACATAGTCAAGTGGTTGCGGAATATAGACGAGGTAAGTAATTGAAGCATTTGTCTGCATCATTTTACAATGTCAATGTATCATTTTTCCAACAGCACGCCAACGAGGATGTGGAGAAGATGATTCTGGGGAACAAATGCGACATGACAGACAAACGCGTCGTCAGTAAAGAACGAGGAGAGAGTGTAAGTCAGCTAGCCGGTGGTTCCAAATTCGAAGATAAAAGCTAATCAAACACGTTTCCTTGCAGATCGCCCGCGAACATGACATCCGCTTCATGGAGACGTCCGCCAAGGCAAATGTCAACATCGAGAAAGCGTTCCGCGAGCTGGCCGAAGCGATCCTGGACAAAACCGCCGGCAAGGAAACGACCGACAATCCGGACCGGGTGGTGGTGAATCGTGGCACCGGGGACAAACCGCCCGCCTACAAGACTTGCTGTGCGTAGAAGGTGACGCCCGACTGGCACTCGAGCAGTTGTTTGCTTGCTAATACTGCACTCTTTCTATCTGTGTGTGGGTAAATATCTAGAGAAGGCATCATTCTTTCGTTTTTAAGATCTAAAATATTTACTTATTGTGAGTCAGGGATAGTGGGCGAATAATGCTTACGATGGGGACAAGTAGGGAGGGGCAGGTATTCTTACGAAACAGTCAGAGCAAACTATGAGAAAATGTTCTCTTCAACGGGGAAGTTGTTTTGTTGGGTTTACAAATAAGGACGACGTGAGATTCTGTTTGATCGTGCGCAGATGGGGGGGGGGGGGGAGGATACGTGTTGCGCATTGTTACTGTGTACATGATTTTAGGTTGCTTCCAAGTTCTATAATCTTTCTATGTAGGAAAGCTTCTATGTAGTGTATTTTAGTTCGTACGTCACTGATGCGCGATCGCCATTAGTGTAATATTCTAACAGTCGAAAGCTTCCATTTTAGGGAAGCTCGAACTAACTAAACGCTAAATATCTAAACCTGTTTGTTGTAGATGTCAGAAAAGCTAAGAACGACGGCTTCTTTTTTCGTTTCGAATGATAGATTGCAAGTACGATTAGATTAGAGGTTGTGTATTGATTGAGGAATCAAATATGTTTTTACTATCAATTTGAGAGGGGTGTAATAGTGGTTTTGTCATCGTATCAGCTGTCATGTCTTCGGTGGCCAAATATGGATTCCATTCTTTTTTGTGATGCCTTGGTCGAAACTTTGTTTCGATGTGCTTGGAACTAGGGCTGAGCGGATATCAATATTATCGGGTTATATTTATCGATACGATATCTTGTAACCCGACATCGATAAATTATCTTTGTAATGTAGGTATTTTGGGAAAGTAAGCATAACAAGAAGCAAACGATCTTTTTTGATAGAGCCGAATGTGAGGATAACAAACTTTGAACTCTAAGACGTGATTACACAAGTCTAGATAGAGCTGGAATTAGGGCGTAACAGCTTTTGTAAACAATGACTTCTACCGATGATTTCTAGGAATTCAAGGCACGCCCACGCAGACCAACCTAACCATCGGATAGGGGAAGACTTTCCCTACCCGACGTAGATGTTGGTTTGCGTGAGCGAGCCTTGAATGTCTAGAAATCACCAAGAGAAGTCATTGTTTTCAAAAGCTGTTAGGCCCTAATTACAGCGTTCGAAATGTCAATTTTACTACATTTTCACTGGGTAGTTCAAGTCACGCTGACATTTTAATATTCTACTTCTTCATTTAAAATATTGCTGAAAGGCTTCGGAGAATGTTTACCGTTAAACCAAAGTTTTTCTAGCATTATCGGATGTCGGGCCGTTATCGATAATTTAAAATCCGATACGATACCGGTACTGATATTCAAACCAAACTATATCGCGATAACGATAAATCTATGTTTTAAATAGTCCTATTTGGAATGTGATGCAGCTCTGGTTATCTTCATTAACCTTCACAGGTTACTTGGTCTTGATTCCCAGGTCATAAAACAAACGATGTTCCTATCCAGTTGTGTTGCTCGAAACATTCGGGCATGTCTACATACTCGGCTTCGTTACTACTAAGAGTCACGTTCTTCTGCTTGCTTGTATTTCATCCGATCATCATCCCATCAGGGTAGTGAAATGTGAAACCTGATATAGATTAACGATTTTGAGCATCACGCCGGTCCAAACATCTAGCATCAATTCATGTTCGATGGTTCCGTTCAAGCTTGATGAATCGCTTCGATCCAGTCGACTTGGGACGGATGACTATATCCGGAAATCAAATGGATTTCCTATGTACATGGGACTGTTATGCGAATAGCGGCAGTATATAAGTTGGCTAACAAACGTAGAAAATAAATTTCTTGACCCTCTGCATTAGATTAGCTAGTCGCAGTAGCTTTCCAACCTTCGGATTGACGATGAGTTTTTTTTTCCGTGTTGGGTATTTTGATAACTGCGACCAGTACTTTGATCTATTGTGATATAGGCGGAGGAGGGGCATAGTGAACAGGTGGGTCATAGTGAGCATCGCGCAGTTTGGCCCTGGATCTCTAGCTGCATGAAACAAATCAACTAGTAGTAGGTTCAATATCATTATGATATTGATCCTACCACCAATAAATTTGTTCCGAACGGCCGGAAGTCCAAGCTGGTGCACGGGATGCTCACTATGCCCCACCTGTTCACTATGCCCCTCTTTCCCCTACTCCCCGTTTTAATATTGCTTTATCAGCATGTCGTATCACCATTGTATGAAGCGACCGACATAGTCTGACCGAAAGCATTTTCCCAGTCAGGTATTACATTTCGAATGAATTGCACTACTTGGCTGGGAACTGAATTCCAAATATCAAAGGGTTCTGTCAGCCCCTTATTCATAAAAATACGCCTCTTATTGAAGATTGCTGTACAAGGGCATAGCAGGTGTTCAGAGTCTTCTTTTTCTATGCCACATAATCGACACATGTTCTCTTGAAGTTTTCCATGGACAGTTATTAAACCAGTGTACATACTGAGATCTTTCTTTGATAGTTCAAGAATTTTGCTAGTCATTGAAATGCTCGGATTAATAAACTGTTTCGACTGCCTAGCAATGAGAGTGTTGTTCCAATTGGTCTCCACTTTCATTTTTTTTTTTTTCATTTCTTGAACTCCATTCTAAGAGAGCAAGCAGAAACTCCACAGAATGGTTCTGGTCCTATATATTGTTGAGATGATCCAAGCCTAGCTAGTGTGTCGGTTTTCTCATTCCCTTGAATTCCACAGTGACCAGGAACCCAAAATAGGTTAACTTGGTTTTGGCTGGCCAATTTTTGGAGTGACATTGCGCATTCCCATACAAGTTTTGAAATAACGTGTTGCTGATTTCAAAGCATTTAGGGCTGCTTGGCTAGACATAATGCAGATATTCGAATGTCTAAGTTCCACGGAAGCAAATTTTAGGACATTCAAGAATTTTTTGGACTTCTGCTTGGAACACGGTAGGCCAGTAGCAGTAGTATATTGAGATATTTATACCTGGACCTGTTACCAGGGTTCTACATTTTCGAAACAAAGAAAAGAAAATGAACCCTCCGCAGAATCGCTTCATTTCCAGCAATATTATTTTCGTGTAAGTCATTGTGTTTCTTGTTGTTGTGTGACGATGAACATTCCTCCTGTCAAACATGACTTAACTATCGCTTGTTTCGTTCGTCAAATACATCAGTTCATTTAATTTGAAGCAAAGACTTGTTTCAGTTGATGCAATGAATGACTCGAAAACTGCTTCCTTCGTTTTTGCCACTTTCACTTCAATTCGGGGCTCATTCGACTTGTCACGTGTCGCATCGTCAGGCATCAACATATAGTAACCGGTTAGTATCCGCACAATATAGGTTGCCGATAGGCATGGCATGTGTAGCAACAAAATGTTATTTTATATTAAACGAATATTAAACTAACGAGTCCAAGATGGCGGCCATCGGGCTTAGGAAAAGTCTCAAATACCCTACAATATTGGTATTTTAGGAACGGTGACGACGCGAAGGTGCCGAAAATCGATGTCCGACGCAATTTTGGAATCCAATATGGCGGCCATCGGGCTTGGAAAATCGATATTCGACACCATTTGTAGGATATTTGACACTTCTTCTAAAATCAGAAGCCACCATCTTGATGGCGTCGGACATTGATTTCTAGCCTCTAGATGTCACCCCTATTCCAAAAATACTCACATTGATCGGTATTTGGCAGTATTTCACAATAGCCGCCATCCTAGATTGGCGTCAAACATCGGTTTCTGGCCTCTAGACGTTACTGGGATTTCGAAAATACCCACATGCGATGGGTCTTCGACACTATTTTCGATTAAATGGAAAGTACTATTTTCAACTTTTTCTGAATCCAGAAGTCGCCATCTTGGATTTAAATATGGCGTTTAACGTCAATTTTCAGCATCTACGTGGCATCCCCGTTCTGGAAATTTACAGTTTTCCTCAAATCGGAAACCGCCGTCTTGAATTTCACAATGGCATAGGATATTGATTTCCGGCTTCTAGACATTACCCTGATTCTAAAAAAAATGTTTGGGTATTTGATGGAATTTCACACTTTTTCAAAATTTCAAGAATTTTAAAATGGTGTCGAATATTGTTTTCCATCCCGATTCCAAAAATACCCATATTGATGGATATTTGATAGTATTTACTATATTTTCTTGAACTGGAAGCCACCATCTTGGATTTCAAAATGGCGTCGCATATCTATTTCCAATCTCTAGACGTCACCCCGATTCCACAAATACCCATATTGATGGGTCGGTAGCATTATTTCCCACTTTTCTGATACGGGAAGCCACCATCTTGGATTTCAAAATATCGTCCGATATCAATTTTCGGCCTCTAAACATCGCCCCGATTAAAAAATACCCATATTAATGGGTATTTGACAATATTTCCATTTTTTTCGAAACAATCGAAAGCCGCCATCTTGGATTACAATCTAGGCGTCATTCTGTTTCGAAAAATACCTATATTAATGGGTATTTGACAGTATTTCCCTCTTTTTTTTAAACTGCGAGCCACGATCTTGTATTTTATAATGGCGTCGCATATCGATTTGCAATCTTTAGACGTCATACCGATTCAAAAAATACCCAAATTGATGGGTCGCTGTCAGTATTTCCCACGTTTTCTGAAATCGGATGCCGCCATAATGGATTTCAAAATAGCGTCGGTCATCGATTTCCGGTCACTAGACGTAACTCCGATTCCAAAAATACCCACATTGATGGGTAAGCAAACCACCCTATAATGATAAATTTGACTTCACAGTGCACAGATCTATCCGCGTGCGCTTAAATGAACCGAGTGAACAATCCACAAAAGTCAGAAAAACTGCGCGAATTTGGATCGAACAGCTTCGTTTCAATGTGAAAGTAAGTTCGTTTGACAATGAAAGACGAAATGAACGCGAGTCCAGCCAAAACAAACAGCATGAAAACTGATCGCAAGTGGTTCTGTTGATGTTGAAGAGGATCTGCTCGAAGAGAAGACAGAATGACTTTCAATTGAAAGTGAGGGTTGACACCTTCGTCGTCGCTTGACGATTTTCGATTGAAAGTGACTTTGTTGGGCCCTGCCTGTTACCCCTGCTCCTACACGATTATCCAATCTAGAGCCGTCTGTATAAAAGACAATTGATGCTGGACGAATGTTTGGTCCCCCATTGTCCCACAAAACGCGATCCGCATCTGCAACGATCGAAGTGATATTTTTTCTTCATCCAATCTTCATTTTGTAACACAATAGAATCAATATTGAACATTTTTAGAATGCTCATATGTCCTCTAAGATCACCCTCAAGGAAGTGCTGTGACCGTCGGATCCTTAATGCACTCCTTTCGGCTTCTAGTTGAATAAATTGATGCAACGGAAGCAGATAAAGTAGAGCATCTAGTGCCATACTTGGTGTGCTACTCATTGCACCAGTTATTGAGAGAGTAGCAAGCCTTTGCAGCCTTTCCGAGCTTCTTCTGAGCTGATTTTTCATTGGTTTTAGGTCACCAAACCACTGATGCATAGGTTATTCTGGGTCTTACAATCGTCAAATAAATCCGATGAGTATTAGTGTCCTTCTTTTTTTTCAGAGGAGCTCGTCAGATTCTACTCAGCTGTGCTTTTGCAAGCAAATCGTAGTTTCCTCTTCTTTTTCCTACATTTGCTTCTCCATCAGGATTCTCTTTCTTTTCTATTGCTCATATCATACATGGTCTACCTCCAAAAACTTTCAGTTTTTGCTCCACAGAGAGTGCAAATGGGCGATTGGGATTCTTTTTCCGCTTCTTGGAAATACCTTATTCAAAGATGAATCGTAGCGTGTAGTTCTAGAGGTAATCAAAAGGATATGAACCTCTCCTTCCAATGGGTTCTTCTACTTAGGTAAGAATATTTCCAGCATTGCACTGGAAGCATTTATTCCTCAGTCTACCATAGAGCGTCTTTCTCATCCGGTTGAAGCAACAAAGCCCCGGATGGGCTGCTTCATTTTTCCATACTAGCTGGCCTAGCATGGACCCAAATCAGACTTATTAATTCTTTTCTCCAAAATATGGAAATTTTATATTACTTTTCATTCCCACAAGAGCTGTCTCCATTCTGACATTTACAACAACTTGAAAACTAAAAGTCACAAACGCTGACAAGAAGAAGAAAAAACTCAGACCAACAATCATTCGAATGCTCTTGAAACAAGAAATCCGAAGCCAGATACCTATTTCAAAAAACAAAATATTTTTTCTAGCATCCATTTGTGTCCTATTGCTTTTCTAAAGGCAAAATTGAATGTGAACTTAATGAAAAACGTATACCTACTTAATAGAAAATCCAAAAACCTACACACATCTTCACCTAAATCGCTTTTTGTTGTTATCCATATGCATGAGGAAACCAATCCCAAAACATCCGCTAGCTAACAGGTAATGACCACACAAAAAATGCTATCGCAGCCCCCAACGTGTAACTAAACTATTACTTATTACTAATACTATTTGTGATAATCGCTGTCGGTCGCATCGTAAATTGCACACACACACACACATTTCATACTGATTTATTAACCCAACAACTAGTACCAGCGATGTTGATTATGAAAGTCTTAAAATTAATTTCTTCCTCACTTCCAATCAAGCGCGTTGTGTAATAATCGAAACCGTGTAGCGCAATTATATAAAGAAAAATTGAAGGCTTTGCAACAACAAACCCATTCACACACATTAACACTCACAAAAATATCATAGGTGTAATCGAGTACAGTGTTTAGAATTAAATGCATTCGCCTAACAATAAGCTGTTGTTGATGACGAAAAAAATAAAATACAAAAAGTCGAACCACCTCAAGAAAGTAAAGCATGAATGGCAAAAAAAAAGCGAAGCGAAAGATTTCATCAACAAACACACACACATGCATAAAAAGTAGATTCAAAACAACCCATCTTTCATTAGTACTCGTCAATCGTGTCATGATCCATTCGAAGAACACAAGAAACCAACACATGTATGATAACGGAAAATGAAAAATGAAAGCTACCGAACATTATTGATGGGAGATCAGCAAGTTCTCTTGTGTAAGTTAGAGACAAAAAAAAAATAGATGCATGCAATCATCTTTCTCATAGAATTTGTAGCTGTTTTAGGTACGAGCATCAACTAATTGGAATAAATCAACTATTAAAAACGAAACTATAATATCAAATTTTGCGCGGAGATTGCGAGCGAGTAAAAAAAAAAGAACAAGAATAAAGAACAGTGTTTAGTTATCGATCTATATTTTATTTTATATATGTATATGATAAATAGCTTTCTTTTTTTGAGATGACGCTAGTTATGTTTATTATAGAGAAAAAAAAAACGGTATGCTTTTTGATTACTACAAAGAAAAACAGTCAATAAAAAATGAAGAATGCAACGGTTTAGAGAGGGCGGATAGGCGAAGATAGGCGTGAAATTTTTACATCGGATAAGTATCACACCAGCGCCGACCCGGCTTCGTGTACGACAAGTACAGATAGATAACAATATTTTGAGACGGAGTAACCAAGTAAAATGCAATTTTTTTCATTGCCAGAATCCAGTCTCGTCCGTCGTGTAGAACGGTCGTATACATCATATGGAACGAAAGCAACATTTCGGAAGTAAGGATAAATCAAAATTGTTGAGAATAGAAGCGAATATTAAATTGATTCGATAAACCAAAAATAACCGTTGTTTGGAAAGCCGAGTAAATGATCTCACATACCTTGGGGCGTTTTTATGACGTAGGATTACGTCTTTCGGCAACATATTGGGGGTGCAATTTAAAAAAAAAAACATTACGAAAAGAAGTCAGATTTTGACCACATATAGGTATAGAGGTAACTCTAAAGGCCCACGCACATTAGATCCGGATCTGACGCGTTGCGGCAAAGTGACAGCTAAATCTATTGTCTAACTGACAAATTTACATCAACGCAACGCAAACGGATCTAATGTGGGTGGGCCTTAAGAACAGAAGCTCCCGAAGAAACGTGCTCAACTTTTTGGCTCAGCTCTGTTACTCTCTTCGGTCCCAAGCTAATCGATACGCCCCTCGAAACATAGGAAAATCCACGAACCCCTCATTTTATCTGTCAAACTTTCATAGCGAATCAAAACAAACATAGTGTAGTACTAGAATCTCTACTAGAATGGGGTACGTTAATTGATTTGCTTGGGACCAGGGGAAACGACACTTCAGGATTATCCGAGTGGTAAGTCACTCAGCACATTGTGTGTGTGTACAATCTAACCCCCACTGCTGATGGAAAATACAGTGAAACGAATCGTCCAAATAATTGATGCAGAGCTCAACGAGTATATGGATAGCAACGATCTAGTTTCTACGGAACTGGTTCTTCTATGTAGCTGGGGTATGGACGGATCAACTGGATATTCGCAATATCATCAAGTGCTACCAGAAGGATCTCAGGACGATTCAGATGTATTTTCGTCCACTTTAACACCAATACAGTTGTTCATGTACAATGATCGAAAGTAAATTATGTGGTTTAATCCCATGCCTCAAAGTATTCGATTTTGTAGGCCATTCATCCTTGAATTCATTAAAGAGAGTAAAGAAGTTATTCTGGCTACAAAACAGGATGTAGAAAAAGAAATGAGTGAACTAACGCCAGTGAAAATTGAACTCTCAAACGACAAGTTTATACTTGTTGATTTTGTTTTTGTCCTCAGTATGATAGACGGAAAAGTCTTAACTTATATCACTGGAAATTCGTCGATGCAGAATTGTCCAATATGTGGGGCAACACCAAATGTAATGAATGATGCAGAGAAATTCGAGGAAGGATTTATATCAAACGAAGAAGCCTTGCATTACGGCATATCTCCACTTCATGCTTGGATAAGATGTTTCGAATGCCTTTTGCATATTGCATACAAAATGGATATCAAAAAATTGAAGGTAACGAAACCGTTCAAAGAACTATATGAACAAAGAAAAAAACATGTGACGACACAGCTTTACGAACAATTTGGAGTAAGAGTAGATCAATCACGATCGGGTGGAGCAGGTACCAGTACTACAGGAAACGTTTTTCGAAGAGCATTTGGAAATCCCAAGCTTCTAAGAAAATTCTATTACAGCGAATCACATTGTTTTAATTGATTTCTTCACCAGTTAGTCGTCTGTCACTTCGTTTGTGCTAGAAGGTCCAGAAATAACGTACTCAACTTTTTGGCTAAGCTCTGGTACCATAGAGGCATTCCACGAAGGTTCGCAAATCGATCCTGACCGATCATTTCCAATTACGCTGAAACTTTGCACAGTTGTTCCTTTTTAGTAAAGGCGACATTTTGTGCTCTTAGTTTTTCATATTGAATTACGACTACTTTTTGAAAAGGGCCTGTGTAAAAATAGTACTAATGAGTTTAAAAATATATATTGCTGAAACGCTTTGTTCGATTGATTTGGTGTCCAGAGCAAAGTTGTAGATATTATTTTGGCAATTGTGTAAACAATATACACTGTAAAAAATTTCGTTTGTATCAATGAAAAAAATTATATTTATTATTAAAAAAGTTAATTTCTCAAAAAGTACAATTTTCGTTTTAAGCCTCATTGAAGCTCATAATATTTGCTACTAACTGGAAAAGTTTGGTGAAGGTAAACTCAAAAACAAAAAAGTAATGGTTAATTGAATATTTCACGATTTTTACATTTTCATTAAAAACACATTTTTTTAACCGTGTATATTTTTTCAAGAATTGCATTTTAATTATGCACAATTTTTCCGAAGACACCATAGCAATCAAGCAAGCCGTTTTTGCAATGTATTAAAATGTTTATTTTATAAGCGCTTTTCTACACAGGCCCTATCGGAATAGCGAACCCCGACTACTTTTTTTTATTTTAAAATCTCAACTTAAATCCACAAAATACATTTATCTGCTCTTTTTTACTTTTCTTTTATTCGAAAACCTTATGGACAAATGATACATAATTTATTTTCATTGTAATACACTTACTTTCTATTTTTATTTACATCACTTCTTAAATACATCCAATATTTTGGCATCATTATCATTACAGTTTGAGTATCGTTTGGCTTTAATTTTATTTTCTGATACAGGAATGAAAGAATGAAACTTTTGAGTTCCTTGAATTATTTTTGCATTATTATATTGCTCGTTGAGGTGTGAAGCCATACATTCGTATTCCTCTGTTGTGGCAAAACTAAATGATAATGTTGTTAATTCTTCTTCTTTTCGATTATTTGCCCAATTATAAAGCTCTCTTGCATTTTTTGTTGGATGTTCACGTTCTTTGGCCAAACTTGCTCTAGTAGCCATACGTTTTATTGTACCTCCAATAGCGTCACAAGGACCTTTCCCATGTGATGTTGCAAAGAAATGCCATTCGGCTTCAATTCCATACTTTGATTTAAATTTACAAAGGCTAGCAAAATTTTTCCGGTTCTTGTACTGTGACGCGGCTTTATCGGACATAAAATAAATCTTGTTGATATTTTTACTTTGGTTAATGCGTAAAAAACTTATCATTTTAGAAATAAATAAGTTAACAGCCACTGAGTCATGCCTTAACTCTTCAGAAATTATAATAAAACTTAAATGTTTAACTTGCATATTTTCTCTAAAATATATAACAAATGGATGAATGGTAGCTTGTTGGACATTCCAGTGATGAGACTGAACTTCATCCTGTAACACAAAGCTGTAGTTTTCGGAAAAATCGCAAGTAACTAAAAATTCACCTTCTTGCAAATTATTTCGTGTAGTTTTCAAAAAATTAGATTGCTGTGTTTTTATGAAATCATGTGGTATCAAACTTGTCAATTTCAAGCAGAAAAATGAAACAAACTCGTCTGCAGGCTTTACAATAGTTTCTAAATCACATCTATCCGTGGTAACCCACTGTTCAAATGAAAGCTGATCAATGCATTTTCCTCTAATTGTTTTAATAAAATGTTTTCTAATGCGGAAGAGTCTGGACAATCTTCACAACACCGTAGATAGCAATATGTTGTCTTGTTTTCACAAAGTAGGCTGTCAGTGAACGTTTTTACATCATTTAAATGGTTAAGTTTTTTCAAACTGTGTAAAATTAGATTGATGTTTTCATGCGTTGTGCACACGCAAACATTGTGGGTTCCAGAGCTGGTTAAAAGTTTATATTGCTTAGGGCGGAGTTTTGCAAATGAAGAGAATCCAATTTTTACATTGCAGTGAATTTCATTGAATCGTTTATAAGCTTCTCTAAAAGTCATCATTAGTAATCTTTTTTGAATGGCTTGTCGTTTTCCTTCTTTCTGCACCAGGCATTGCCCGACTTATATCATCATCTTCAAAAAAAATTATGACTGTCAATTTTGTTTCATCACTTAAGGCTGTGCCATATTTTGCGGTTTTTGACGAATAACCTTCCTTTATCAACTTAGCCTCTGTTGCAATATATCTACTAGCATTAAATTGATCCATAACTTTTTGTGTTGACCATGAATAAGGCAATAACGATAAAATTAATAATTTTTCACTTCTTGCAGTGGATGCATTGGAAAACTTTTCCTTCATGTTTTCTAAAACTTCTTTGAGTTCATTCACTTCGTCAGCCTCAGGCTCGAAGTTGAAAAGATTCTTTCTAATACCTTCGTTGATTTCACGGTGCTTCTTTTCGGGGTAGTGGATGTAGTTGAGTTTTCTCACGTCTATCGGTGATACCTGGATTCCTGCAATGCCTCGGTTGAATATCTCGATGTTGACTGGTTGAGTAAATTCTTGGTACGATTGAACTGAAGTAACTGATGTCATTGATGGTACAGTTGTAAGGCTTTCACAGCTCGGTACGACAGGTACTATCACTGTAGTTGGCATCTTT